TAATGTAAAGAAGTACTGAGTAGATGAAACAAATGAATCAATGAATCAAACTGAAATTATTATTTTTGGTTTCAGGTATAGAATTTAGTGATTCATCACTTACATATGACACCCAGTGCTCATTCCAACAAGCGCCCTCCTTAATACCCATCACCCATTTAGCCCAGCCCCCACCCACCACCCTCCATCAACCCTCAGTTTGTTCTCTTTAGTTAAGAGTCTCTTATGGTTTGCTTCCCTCTCTCTCTTTTCTACCCCTTCCCCTATGTTCATCTGTTTTGTTTCTTAAATTCCACATAGTAGTGAAATCATATGGTATTTGTCTTTCTCTGACTTATTCCCCCTAGCATATTACACTCTAGCTCCATCCAATCAAACTGAAATTAATCCCAATTCAAATGGACGATGACTAAAACTCAACCAGCTGCAAAAAATAAATGAGAACACACCTATCTAGCCATGAAACTCAAGAGGTAAGGGAAAGCTAGCTGCAGAACACTCTTCCTGTCCACACAATGCAAAACCATTGTTTTCCACAGCAAGTTAAATTATTTTCAGCTTCGTCTTTTGAAGTACTTCAAATTTATATTTGTGTAGTCTTCATAGGGTCGTCACATGTATTACCTCATTCAATCTTCACAACAATTCTCTAACGAGTTTCTTTTTAGCTAGAATAACAGAGGGAGGGCGCCTGGGTGGCTCAGATGGTTAAGCGTCTGCCTTCGGCTCAGGTCATGATCCCAGGGTCCTGGGATCGAGTCCCGCATCAGGCTCCCTGCTTCTCCCTCTGCCTCTCTCTCTCTCTGTCTCTCATGAATAAATAAATAAAAAGTTTTAAAAAAAAAAGTAGAATAACAGAGGGAGAACTGAGGCTATGGGGAGGGGATGATTTATCCAATGTGATAAAACCAGTTAGCAACAGGGCCAGTACTAGAGCCTGCGTCTCTTGCTTTCAAGACCCGGGTCCTTTCCCCTATAGTACCATGGAGGTAAGTAGCAGTTTCCTGTCAGTCTTGCTAAACGTGTATCCCCAAATAGAGCAATCAATGTTTTGAAGCAGATGGCCAAAGAACACTCACACCGAAGGACAAAATGTGTGAAAAGCAATTTAGAAATATGTAAAACAATTTTGAAAACAGGTAACCTATTCCTGGGATTAACAGAAGGAAATAATTCAAATAAATTAAAAGCTATATGCCCAAAGTTAGTTATTACAACATCATTTATGATAGGAAAAAAAGAGAGAGGAAGGAAGGAAGAGAAAGAAAGAAGGAATGAAGGGAAGGAAGGAGGGAAAGAAAAACAAGCTAATTCCTATCAAAAGAGAGATGACGAAGTGAACCATGTTTTATCAAATTGGCGAATGGTTATGAAGAGTAAGAAGATGGAAAATGTTCGAAGTGATTTTAGCCGGGAAACATATTTGGAAAAGCTGGAAGGGAACACAGAAATATGAAAACAGTTTGCTATGGTTGTGGAATTTTAAAATAAATTTTCTTTAACAGGTTTTATGTTATACTTTATGAAAAAAATTTAACAATAAACAAGTTTAGAGTTTACATGAAGATATTTCCACCACAATGTGACTAAAATCATGTACAGATTTGGAAATTTAGCTTTCGACAAACGATGGGGGGTTCCTTAAATACGGACACGTGTGATGTGCTGGGTTTGCTCATCTGTCTTCAACCCTCGCCTTCCACCAGCATCCTGCCATGCCTTCCTGACCTCTGACCCAATCTTCATCTTGTTTCTAAAGTTGTGCCCGCTATCTTATTTGCTTCCTATCATTCATAGAACTTATCTGAGTCTGGTCTTCTAGGGGCATCAAAGAAAGCTGCTACGTTAGACTAGAGGAGGGAACAGAACGAGATATTCAGCCCCTGGCTGTCTCTCAATGACATCAGCCCCTGATAGCTGGTTCAGAAAGAAAAAGCTGCTGACTTCCCCTTTAAGCTACTGAATCTAAAGAACAAAGGTTGAAGCTCCCTTAAATCAATCATTCCAAAGGTAGATGGCCTTGTACAAGATAGAGGGTAACCTTGAAAATCGCACAAGGACTATTGTGCAAGGTTGCAGGGCCCAGGCAGAACTCGTGCGCCCCATTTTAGTTTTCCCAGTAGACCTTCTTTATGAGTGTCAGACAAAAGGACACACCTAGATATATCTCTGTTTCATCACGATTTATGTCAAACCTCACTATCTTGGAGCAATACTTTTTACCTTTTTACTTGGCAAACAGAATCAAGTTATAACCGTAAGTGCCACACAAAGCACCTCCCCCACATTCCCCACATGAGAGTAGAGAGCGGTCTTCAGTCCAGAGCAAAGATAACCCTAGATACCTTGATAGCCTATGCAAATAGCGGCAAAGGGGAAAGAGACACTGTGGAATACGAAGGTCACCTTGGGGCATGACCACACACATGTATATGCATCTATATATACTATCTCCAGGAAACTTGCTTGGAAGGGAATTGCAAATGTACGTGTCTGTCGTCTCCTAAGCGGTCCTCGTTCTCATTACAATGCTGGTGCAACCAAGATTTTATTGCAGCTTACGTCACTTTCATATAGTCACTGAATTAGGCACTAGAACACCTATCTTAAAGAAATTGCCCTCTCCTTGTTTTGTTCCTATGAGGACTGATTTGATAAATGCACCCTGATTCCATCTCTCTCTTTAGTGTCTGAGGACATCGTATTTGCGAGGCAGCTAGTTTGTGACTTGGAATCTTGCGTGTTCAGTGCTTTACGGTTTACACATCAGAGTGCACAACAGCCCTAAAGAGGTGTACTGTTCACTGTGGGTTTCGTATATGAAATTACTGAGGATAGCAAGGGATTAAGGGACAGAATAGAGCTCTAAGTATGCTGCGTTTGAATTCTAGTCATGCGTGATTGCTTTTGTATCAAATCAGAAAAAAAAAAAAAAAAGAAGCAGTTCTCAAGTCTTTCTATTGTGATTCCAGCGCCACAAAAACCCAGAAGGAGCAACTAAGACCACTTCAGGTGAAGTCTGTCCCAGGCTCCCCTGTGATTCCTTCCAGAAGCTGGAACTCAGGTTCCGGTGGGGGATTTAAATGAGCTATTCCTGCATAAAGCCAGGAGGCATCAGTCCTGGAATTCTTACCTCCTAGGTTAACACCTATCTCTCCCCATCCTAACCCAATTTATGGAACATTATCAGTGTCCACAGAATCTATTAGGTTATTTTTTTTTTAAAGATTTATGTGTTTATTTGAGAGGGAGAGCGCACACGTGTACACACAGGAGCAGGGGTAGAGGTAGAGGGAGAGGGAGAAAAGCCAACTCCCAGAGCAGGAAGCCGGTCGTGAGGCTCCATCCCAGGAGCCCAAGATCATGACCTGAGCCGAAATCAAGCTTCGGACGCTCAACCAACTGAGCCACCCAGGTGCCCCAGGACCTATTAGGTTGAACCATTGCTCAGATTTGACTAATTTTGGCCTACAAAAATGCATTTCAGATCTTTTGACCCAATATAAAATACCTCCAATGAGCGAAAGACAAGCTAAGGAGCAGAACAGAAAAGCAGATATTGTGGGTTAAAAATAGTAAGGGTTTGTGCACTTGTTTTAGAAACACCCAAACAGAGGAAAAATTGGGACACCTGGGAAGAGATCAGGAGGCAAGCAAGTCTGAGGGGAAGAGATGCTGTCACACAGATAAAGGACAATTCTAAGGCTGCCCGGGTCACGAAGTGACCTTGAGCATTAACTGGCCAAGAGTCCTTAATTGTAGGCCTTGATATTTGCTCCTCCTGATACAGCTCGTGGCTCTTTACCAAACTTTTAATTATTTTGTCACTTAATAACCTATTTTATGCCATTTTATATGTTTTCTTTTGCACATTCAGTCTTATTTTCTCAATAAGATGATTGGCTCCTGAAGGCACATTCGCGTGCCGTTTATTTCAGCCTCTCGGGGCAGGGCAAACCAAGCATTAAGTAAGCGCTCAGTGAGGACCTATTAGCAGACTGGAAACCCATCATGAGGCTCTGTTACCAGAAAGCTCAACTGGAAATGTAAATTCTGGGAGGACCAATAGTAGTAACATGCATCTTTGAGCAGTACCTCCTACATGCCTTATGGTATGCTACATATTTAATATATACGTTAGCATCACATCTAACAACTTTACAAAGGGCATTTATTATTAACTTCATTTTACAGCTGAAGATACTAAGAGATTTCACAAAGGTTAAATGAATAACCATGTCTTAACCTTGTCTAAGGCCACACGGTAAGTACCTGAACTTCAAGCCCGAGAGTGCTGAACCCAAAACCCACGCTCTTTCCTGCTTTGTGTAGTCCCTGCCACCCTTTTATAATAACAGTAATAATAACTTATATTAATAATAATATGGTTATAAAAGAATAGTTATAAAAATAAAATCATTATCTTAATAATACGTTATAAAAATAATAGTAATAGTAGTAATAATAATGGCTTATAGAGGAGTTACTCTGTACCAGACCCTGTTCTAAAGTCCTTTGCATATATTAATTCATTCAATCTTCACAGGCCTAGAAGATGGGCTCTATTATCCATTTACAGGATTTTGAGAGTGCATTCTCTTGGACTTCTAAGTTAGGGTTAAAAGGAGATTCTGTAGAACAAAGAAGGATCACTGAGCTTTGTCTTTTTATGTAGGGGAAGAAACTCTACAATCCACATAATATGTCACCGGCACCCAGCCCCTAGAGGGCCCATGAAGGGAGCCAGGGAGAAGAGAAGATGGAGCTTGGACCAGAGTTCTCTGCCTGCCCCTTGGCAATCCTATAGGAAAGGCTTTAGGTTGGAGGCATAAGAGAAGCAGACAGAGAACAGACTTTGAGATCATCAGGGTTCCCTGACAGCTCTCCCCTGCATCACCCTGTGCATCACTAATTTGTCCCTGAAAAGACCTTCTACCAGCCAAAATTACAACCCTTGTGAGTAAGGACAAGAAAGATTAACAATATTTTCTTCTTCTTAGGCTCATTCGAAAGTTTGGCATAACTACAACACAAATTTCCGCCCACATCAGAAGGGTTTGGTGTCAATCACATTGGGATCCCATTGGATTGAGCCAAACAGATCAGAAAACATGATGGATATACTCAAGTGTCAACAATCCATGGTTTCTGTGCTTGGGTGGTTTGCCAACCCTATCCACGGGGATGGAGACTATCCAGAGGTGATGAAAAAGAAGTTGCTCTCCATTCTACCCCTTTTCTCTGAAGCAGAGAAGAAGGACGTGAGGGGCACTGCTGACTTCTTTGCCTTTTCCTTTGGACCCAACAATTTCAAGCCCCAGAATACCATGGCTAAAATGGGACAAAATGTGTCACTCAGCTTAAGAGAAGTGCTGAATTGGATTAAGCTGGAATATGACAACCCCCGGATCTTGATTGCTGAGAATGGCTGGTTCACAGACAGTCATGTGAAAACAGAAGATACCACAGCCATCTACATGATGAAGAATTTCCTCATCCAGGTTCTTCAAGGTTGGTTGCACATTAGCTCAAGTTTTTAAACCTTTGAATACTTATCCTATAGGACACTTAAAGTCATCTTCAAACATGATTATTGTTCTTGGGCTTTCCCATTGACCCATGTTGATAGAGTTTTTTGTTACTCTCATGTCCTTTTTAAATAAAAGTTTGACAACAAAATAATACTAGACTGTAGATATACATCCTTAATTGGCAACAAGGTGCTATATCATTCTTCTTTTTATTTTTTTAAAGATTTTTAAAATTTAGGGGCGCCTGGGTGGCTCAGTCGTTAAGCGTCTGCCTTTGGCTCAGGTCATGATCCCGGGGTCCTGGGATCGAGCCCTGCATCGGGCTCCCTGCTCCGCGGGAAGCCTGCTTCTCCCTCTCCCACTCCCCCTGCTTGTGTTCCCTCTCTCGCTGTGTCTCTCTCTGTCAAATAAATAAACAAAATCTTAAAAAAAAAGATTTTTAAAATTTATTTATTTATTTGAGAGAGAGAGAGAGCTGGGGGAGGCGCAGAGGGAGAGGGAGAGAGAGATTCTCAAGCGGATTCCGTGCTGAGCACAGAGCCCCATGCTGAGCTCCGTCTCACAACCCTGAGATCATGACTTGAGCCAAAACCAAGAGTCAGACTCTTAACCAACTGAGCCACCCAGGAGCCCTGATGCTATATCATTCTTTTTAAAAGAACATATGCTACAAGAGATATGTCCCAAAGTTTTCTAGTAGTACTTTAGTCTAAGATATTGAAGCTTTTCCTGAAATTGTGCTCTTTTTAGGGGCACCTGGGTGGCTCAATCGGTTGAGTGTCCCACTCTCGATTTTGGCTCAGGTTGTGATCTCAGGGTTGTGGGTTCGAGCCCTGTGGCGGGCTCCGTGCTCAGCGGGAAGTCTGCTTCTCTCTTTCTCCCTTCTCCTCTGCCCCTCTCCCCACTTGATCTCTCTCTATCTAAAATAAATAAATAAATAAATAAATAAAATTTTAAAAAAAGAAATCGTGCTCTTTTTATTCTGTTACATGACTGAACGGTGAAAAGTTCTGAAGACAAAGAATGAGCCATGAATGGCAAGGCTGCGTAATTTCTATTGCTCCTGGATATTCCTCTGACCGTTACTAATCCCCTCATTCCTTTTCCACTGCTCAAGTAGTGACAGCTACAGGTGGCTGATTGAAATAATGGAGCCACAGACAAGCCCAAATTGTGATGGGTCTGTCCCCTGCAGAATTGGGCTCCATTTCACCAAATATAAAGAAATTCTCAGCAGAGCTTTCTAAAAGTTTGCAGCTTTCTTTAGAAGTCACAACTATTTTTTTTTAAGATTTTATTTATGAGAGAGAGAGAGCCCACGTAACTGGGGTCAGAGCAGAGGGAGAGGAACAAGCAGACTCTGCACTGAGCACAGAGCCTGTCACGGGGCTCGATCTCAGGACCCTGAGATCATGACCTAAGCCAAAACCAAGAGTTGAACGCTTAACGGACTGAGCCACCGGGGCGCCCCTGAGCATGCAACTCTTGATCTTGGGGTGCTGAGTTCCAGACCCATGTTGGGGATAGAGTTTACTTAAAAATAAATAAACTAGGGGTCCCTGGGTGGCTCAGTTGGTTAAGTGACTGCCTTTGGCTCAGGTCATGATCCCGGAGTCCTGGGATCGAGTCCCACATCGGGCTCCCAGCTCAGCGGGGAGCTTGCTTCTCCCTCTGACCTTCTGCCCTCTCAAGCTGTTTCTCTCTCTCTCTCTCTCAAATAAATAAATAAAATCTTTAAAAAAAACTAAAAATAAATAAATAAACTAATTAATTAACTACTTAATTAAAATTTAGAAGTCACAAGCCTAGAGGAAAAGGCAGGTTCTGCAGGAGAGCCTTCAGGGAGGGTCCTCCAGAAGAGTAAGATCTTGTTGCCCCTAAACTGTGGGAAGGAGGAGCATGGAACAGAGCCACACCCAGCCACGGACAGGTGCATATTGGGGGCCTCCAGAGCAAAGCGCCCAGCCTACAGAGCCTGAGCCAAATACCATGCAGTCGGGCAGAAGGAGTATCCATTCCCTACGTGTCACCATTCCCTCTCCCCTGAGGGCCCTACAACACCAAAAGCACTAGAAGCAGGGCCTACTGAAACATACTTTTCTCCCTAGAATCTCTTCGGATGGATTCTCCACCTTTTAGGAAAAGACCATCAGTGACAAAAAGCCAAAAATGCAGAAATGAGGCATTTCTGTGAGAGAAATGAAAGCTTTTAAGAGAAGAAAAATAGTTTGTGGTTGATTTGGGGACTTGGTGCTTTTATTGCTGCTATTGATTTCCATATTTCATTTTTACCCGATTCCTCAAAGTTATTGAATCAGGGGCGCCTGGCTGGCTCCGTCGGTAGAGCATGTGACCCTGATCATGGGGTTGTAAGTTCGAACCCCACATTGGGTATAGAGATAACTTAAAAAAAAAAAATCTTAAAAAAAAAGAAACGTTACCGAATCAGAGTTTTTAATGCTAGAAAGGTCCTGAGAGATCTTTCCCAACCTTTTCTGCTCCGAAACTTGTCCAGTAGCACCATCCCAGGAAAATAGCGGCCTCCTGCCCCTGCCCCTCAGCCGGCCCGTTCTCCCACAGTACTGTACTTGTTTCTCCTCCTTATACGTACATTCACTTTTGTTCATTCTCAAAGCTGATTTTTCAGTCCTTAAAGGGTAGTTTCATAGAAGATAGTTCCTCCACAAATGGGACCTAACCCAAGCTTGAAATGGGACACTCTTGGTCATGAGCAGACCTCTGCCTGGGTCCTAGAGGGTTCTGGGGATTTCTATGCCTTCTGGCACAGATTGCCCCCTAATATTCTCAGGAATATTTGAAACTGGATCCTTGAACTGTGTCTTTCCCCTGTTGTGGGTTAAGGGGGAGGACCATCCCAGATGAAAATAACTGTCATTTTTCAAGTATCAACATGAATTTTCTATTGTACATCACGAGCCTGCAAATGAGGAGAAAAGCCGGTTTCACCATATGTTCCTGGCAACACATCCCCTGGCAGATTGTTCGCGAATCAAAAACACGAACCAGAGTGAACATCTCTGCTTTTCTTCCTCTGTGCAGCTATAAGGCTGGATGGAATACAAGTGTTTGGCTACACTGCCTGGTCCCTCCTGGATGGCTTTGAATGGCAGGATGCTTACACCACTCGCCGAGGATTATTTTACGTGGATTTGAATAGTAAGCAAAAAGAAAGAAAGCCCAAGTCTTCGGCACATTACTATAAACAGATCATCCAGGAAAATGGTTTTACTTTCAAAGAGTCCACCCCGGATGTGCAGGGTCAGTTTCCCTGCGACTTCTCATGGGGCGTCACCGAGTCTGTCCTTAAGGTGAGTGACTGCTTACAAAGTAACTATAAACCGGTGCAGACAGGACGTAGTATTTTATTTCATGGACTCAATGACGGCTGTCAGACAAGAGCAAATATGATTACTTGGAGGTTCTGGAGGGGAGTTGGGGAAAGAGGAAGGAAGATGAGAATTAGTGCTTACCCAGAGCCTCTCATGTGCCAGAACTTACCCTGAGTTCTGAGATGAGAGCCTGCCCTCAAGAAGTATACAGTCTAGAGGGAACTTACAGTCCTTTTTGAAAGAGGCACTTGGTCAGTAGCGTCAAAATTATAAAATTGTTTTTATAGATTTTGTTTTGCCAAAAGCCAATTATTAGTGGCCCTTGATTTAAGTGGTTCCTGTTATTTGATAGGTTTGAATAATTTGCCTTATGAGATCTCTATATCCTTGTGGGGTCTCCCATGCTCATTCGTCACCTTTATCACATTACTTCCTTAAATGCCACCTTCTCAGTAAGGCTTCTCTCCACTCCAAAAAAGAATCACAATCCTTGGGGCGCCCGGGTGGCTCAGTCGGTTAAGCATCTGCCTTCGGCTCAGGTCATGATCCTGGGGTCCTGGGATCGAGTCCTGCATCGGGCTCCCTGCTCCGCGGGGAGCCTGCTTCTCCCTCTCCTCCCCGCTTGTGTGCTCTCTCTCTCTCTGGCTATTTCTGTCTCAAATAAATAAATAAAATCCCCCCCAGAAATAATAAAGGTGACCTGATACATATCTTAAAAAAAAAAAAAGAATCACAATCCTCTCATTCTCCTTTCCTCCTTTTTTCCCGCCATATATCCTATTCATTACTAGCTAATATACCACTATGTACTTTACACATTTTTCTTTTTTTCTCTAGCTTTATTGAGAGATAATTGACATAGAACATTGTGTAAGTTTAAGGTGGACAGCATGGTGACTTGGTACGTTTATATATCGCAAAACGATTACCACCATAACAAAATTCCCATTTCTTTCTGCGGTGAGAACATTTAAGATCTATTCTCTTAGCAACGTTAAAGTGTGTAATACTGTATCATTAGCTAATCACCATGCTGTACATCTGATCCTCAGAACTTAATTTTATCACTGGAAGTTTGTGCCCTTTGTCCAGTATTTCCCCACTTGCCCCACCCCCAGCCGCTGGTAACTGCTTTACGGATTTTTCTCATTGATCATGTTTTCCCCTTACTAGAATGCAAGCTTCCTACGCCTAAGGGTGGAGATGTTTGAGGCTTTGCTCCCTGCTGTGTGCCTTACTAGGGCAGCGTCAGCTACGAACCAACTGAGCACCAGCCATGTACCATGCAAAGCGAAGTTGTTAAGGTCAACTTTTAGAGCCAGATGGGCTGTTAGAGACCTCCTGTCCCAAATCCTCTGTTTTACAGATTAGGAAAATGAGACCCATCCGTTCATAATTGAGACCTAAGTGACTTGTCCAAGGTAACATCAATAGTGGCAAGACTGTAACAGGCAGCCTGCAAGCCCCTGTATTTATAGTGCTCTTTTCAAAATAATAGCAACTAATTTTTTAAGCCCTTATTATGTGCCAAGCATATAGCTGTTGTATACAATGCACATTCTCTCTCCTAAATCTTAAAACCCTCATTTTACAAGCAAGGAAACTGAGGCTTAGGGAGGTTTTCTAATTTGTTCAGGGTACCCAGATCTGTCCATTTCCTGACACCATGATAAGACCTCACAATACCACACTATGGCCTGTATTCTAGAAGCATATGGAAAGACAGCAAGATCTACAAGGGACGGACCAGACAAAAGGGCTCAAACCATGAGTGAACACAGTTCACGGGTCCTGAATCTCAATCTCTGTTGATACTTAAACATGATTTAGTAAAGGCTCAGAGATAATAACGGTGGAAAAGATACAGAGTAACCTAAATACAGAACTGATTCATCTTCAACTTGTGTCCCCTGTAGAGCTGACTACTTACCCAGTTCCTATCTCCTCCACATGGCAAAGGCAGGCCATCTTTTCCCTACCACTTTAAATAGTTTACTGTTTTTACCAGTCATAATCCAAGTATCTTGCATAAAGAGGGTGTTCGGTATTGTCCTATTGGATGAAGAAATTTGGTGTTCTCATAGGCCCGTGGGTGGGGGCAACATAATGATGCACATACCGCTTTAAATGGGTTTATATTTTCTTTAATTCCACACCCAGAAAAGAAAGATCCTAGGAGAGATAAGAGTTCCTGCCTGTACATGACCCAGCCTGTAAGTTTCTACTTCATCTGAAGACCTATTTGTGCCCCAGTGACTGACACTGTGAATGTCTACCCCATGGGGGGACCCTATCCCTACTCTGAGGAGCAGGAGTGAATCACTTGGGTCAGGGGGTAGCAATTCTGTGATCAACAAGTTCTGAGTTTCATGCTTTCTCCCGGAGCCCAGTGAGGCATCAGCTTCCCTTGAACTTGGACTGAGAGTGAGGATGAATTATTTGTCAAGGAAAATTAGAGTGCTTTTTGAAAAAATCAGCCAGAGGATGTATGAATAGATGCCAAAAAACTAGATGTCCTCTATAGGAAGACTGACAAAATGAAAGTAACACTTTAAAAATATTGGTGTGCCTACCTACAAACATGCCTATCTTACTTCCCCCCAACCTCTCAGTATTCTTTTCTCCTCTAACATTTTGTTTTGATGAGTTTCAGACTCGTACAATAAACACCCATATTCCCTTCATCGAGACTGACCAATTGTTAACATTTTGCCACATTTGCTTTATCTCTCTTTTATAAACCAGTGAAAAGTTGCAGACATTATTACACTTCACTCCAAAATATTTCTACTCAAATGTGTCTCCTAAAAATAAGGACATTCTCCTATATCATTATTAAATTATCATTCCCATAATATTTAATATTGATTTAATATCATCTAACATACATTCCATATTCAAATTATCCTAAATGTTTCTAAAATGTCCTTTATAGATTTAAAAAAATTTTTAGATCAAGAATACAAACAAGGATGACACACTGGTTGTCCTTCATCTTTAGCCTCCTTTAACTCAGAATAATTCCCCCAAGTTCATAGTATTGGCATATTTGAAGAGCCCAGACCAGTTGATTGTAGAATGTCTCATGTTCTGGATTTCTTTGTTTCTTTATTGGATTCGATGAGGTTGTGTATTTCCCAATATATCGCATCAGGAAGCACATGATGTCATTGTTTCATTGTAGAAGATGTTAATGTGTTGGAGTAGTAGTTACCACATTTCTTGATTAAGGTAGCATTTGCAAGATCTCTTAATTGGAACGTACCTTTTCCATTTGTAATTAAGAAGTAATGTGCTGGGCGCCTGGGTGGCTCAGTCGTTAAGCGTCTGCCTTCGGCTCAGGTCATGATCCCAGGGTCCTGGGATCGAGCCCCGCATCGGGCTCCCTGCTCAGCGGGAAGCCTGCTTCTCCCTCTCCCACTCCCCCTGCTTGTGTTCCTTCTGTCGCTATGTCTCTCTCTGTCAAATAAATAAAATCTTAAAAAAAAAAAAAGAAGAAGTAATGTGCTGGTGACACTTTGAGACCATCCGTATACATATCCTGCTTCCCAACATGTCACTAGTGGTCTTAATATTGATTCATTAACTTTACCTGAACTATTACTTTGTAGATTGCAAAATGGTGAATTTCTAATTATGTTATTCTTTCTACATATATCAGGTAATTCTCTTAATTTCAATGCATTATAATTCATTACTGTCATTGTTTCATTAGTCCTTTTGATGCTCAGATTATCTCAAAGGTGGCCGATGGGACTCCTTCAAACTGCTCCTGTGTCTTTTTGACATTTCCTTTTCAGTTTTTAAGTGCATCCTTACTTTTCTGGCATAAGATATACCAGCATCACCTCATTCTTTTCCTCCCCCAGACTGGAAAAAGCCATTTCTCCAAGGAGTCCAGGATCCTCTTAGCGGGGGACAGAATTTTAGAACTAAGTTCTCAGGAACTAGGGTTGAGATCATGGTTCACAACCTCCAACCAGCTCTCTTAGCAGATTAATCACACCCACTTGCTAAACCGAATGCTTGTTGGAGGTTTTTTTGGGTTTTTTTGTTGTTGGAGGTTTTTAAAAGACAGATTTTCATTTGATCTTGCCTTACCTCATTGCAAGATTGCTCTTTGTAAACACCCTTTCAGTATTAAGATGCTCTGAGGTTTCAAAACACTGAGATTGTCAATCGAAGCTAGAAGGATTTTACTCAATTATATGCAGATTTAACTTCATGCTCACATGATCAATGTTCTCTCAGTTTAATGTTCTAGATAACTGGTTGGCAGATGGTAAGTGGGCAGTGATATGGTTTTGTAATTGGACTATGAAGGATGACACACGAGAAAACAATTAGAGGGAACATATTTACCAAAGGTTAATTATCATTTTTTTCCAGGTGCATTTAAATTTAGCCATAGGAAGAAAAGGTACTTTAAAACAAGTACAGAACTTTTATTTTCTCTTATTAATGTTGAATCTGGAAATGTTTTTTCTTAAGCCCTTTTCTGTTTTAATTTAGACTCAAGGGCCTAGCAGGCAATTACCGTAACCACGGAAAACTAAACCCAAGTCATGACTACCTTATGTTTGTAGATTGCTTTAGAATTGACAGAGCGCTTTCCCAGAGTCATTGACTCATCACAACACACCTGTGAGGTGGGTGAGATTGCTCTGTCACTAGACAGAGTTGCCAAGCCCGAGTTTCAAAGGGGTTGAATGAGGACAAGAGTCAAGGATTAGCTCCTTAGTGGGGGGCAGGGTATGACACACCATCAGATCCAAGAGTCAGTTTGGGAGATCCTGGGGGATAGTTTACTGTTTTTACCAGTCATAATCCAAGTATCTTGCATAAAGAGGGTGTTCGGTATTGTCCTATTGGATGAAGAAATTCGGTGTTCTCATAGGCCCGTGGGTGGGGGCGACATAATGATGCACATGTGATATCACTTGGACTTTTCAAATGTAAGGTGTTAGAGAGTTGCATTCAGCAAATGCAAGAGGTCATTCACTACGCCATCCCAATGGTCTTTTTTAGGAGCTGTGGCTGGGTCAACCAGCCACCTCTAACTCCGAGTCCTGGTCTCAGTGAAATCCCCTACAACTAGAATTTTAACTTTGCAGTCAAGTTGTGGCAGGGTTTGGAAGGTCCAGCTTTCATGATTCCTTTTAACTGAGGGTACCAAGCCAAATTTCCTGATGCTTTTGAACAGAATCATGTGAGACTCCACTATGTAACTATGTTTTTAGGACAAAGGAACTAGAAAACTGTTTCTCAGGGGTTTCTGAAAAACAACTTGTCTTCGAAGCCAAGCCCTGGGTGTAGTTGCTTCCCTGTTTTCTGGTCTCCCTGGGAGATTTCAAGAGCTAGAAGGGAGGCTCACCCTGCAGGCCTCTTCTATGGTATCGCCAGGAGAACTGCAAGAACATGCAGGTCGTTATGAAGGCTACATGCCTCGTTTATTTTCTCTATTGTCAGGAAGAGGCAAAATAGCACGGGGCCATTCTTTCTCTTAGAGGATGCCAGCCAAGGGCCTGTCTGCCGGGTGTGCTTTACTTGAATGGCCTCGTTTTTCCAGACTCCGGCGTGGCTCAGTTGGTTAAGCGTCTGCCGTCACTCAGGTTATGATCCCAGGGTCCTGGGATCCAGTCCTGCATAGGGCTCCCTGCTCAGCGGGGAGTCTGCTTCTCCCTCTGCCCCTCCCCCTGCTTGTGCTCTCTCTCTCTCTCTCTCCCTCCCACTCTCTCTGACAAATAAATAAATAAAATCTTGAATGTGCTTGTTTTTCACAGCCCAAGGTGGTGGCTTCCTCCCCACAGTTCAGCGACCCTCACCTGTACGTGTGGAATGTGACAGGCAACAGATTGCTGCGCCGAGTGGAAGGGGTGAGGCTGAAAACACGGCCCGCTCAATGCACGGACTTTGTCAGCATCAAGAGACAACTGGAGATGTTGGCAAGACTGAAAGTCACTCACTACAGGTTTGCTCTGGACTGGCCCTCAGTCCTCCCCACCGGCAACCTGTCCGTGGTTAACCGACAAGCTCTGAGGTACTACAGGTGTGTGGTCAGTGAGGGGCTAAAGCTCAACATCTCCCCAATGGTCACCTTGTACTATCCGACCCACGCCCACCTGGGCCTCCCCACGCCCCTGCTGCACGGCGGGGGATGGCTGAACCCATCCACAGCCCAGGCCTTCCAGGACTACGCTGGGCTGTGCTTCCAGGAGCTGGGGGACCTGGTGAAGCTCTGGATCACCATCAATGAGCCCAACCGGCTGAGTGACATCTACAGCCACGCTGGTAACGACACCTACCGGGCAGCGCACAACCTGCTGATCGCCCACGCGCTGGTCTGGCACCTCTACGACAGGCAGTTCAGGCCTGTGCAGCGCGGGGCCGTGTCGCTGTCTTTGCACTCGGATTGGGCCGAACCCGCCAACCCCTACGCCGACTCGCACTGGCAGGCGGCCGAGCGCTTCCTCCAGTTCGAAATCGCCTGGTTCGCAGAGCCCCTCTTCAAGACCGGGGACTACCCGTTGGCCATGAGGGAGTACATCGCGCTCAAGAACAGGCAGGGGCTCTCGCGCTCCACCCTGCCTCGGTTCACCGAGGAGGAGAGGAGGCTGGTCAAGGGCGCGGCCGACTTCTACGCGCTGAACCACTTCACCACCCGGTTCGTGATGCACGCGCGCCAGAACGGCAGCCGCTACGACGCCGACAGGGACGTCCAGTTCCTGCAGGACATCACCTGCCTGAGCTCCCCCAGCCGCCTGGCTGTCCTGCCTTGGGGGGAGCGCAAGGTGCTGAGGTGGATCCAGAAGAACTATGGAGACGTGGATGTTTACATCACGGCCAGTGGCATCGATGACCAGTCTCTGGAAAATGATGAACTCAGAAAATACTACTTAGAGAAGTACATTCAGGAGGCTTTGAAAGGTGAGGTTCGGGCCGTATCGCATAGTGTGAAATGACGTTACCAGTTCAGGTGAACGAAAGAATGAGGGGAGATGGTGCGTTAGTGACAGTGCCAGCTCATTAGGGAAAATTTGGCAAGTTTAGAAAAGTATTTTTAAAAAATCAAAAAAACACAAAACAGGGCGCCTGGGTGGCTCAGTTGGTTGGGCGACTGCCTTCAGCTCAGGTCATGATCCTGGAGTCCTGGGATCGAGTCCCGCATCGGGCTCCCTGCTCGGCGGGGAGTCTGCTTCTCCCTCTGACCCTCCCCCCATCTCATGTGCTTTCTCTCTGTCAAATAAATAAATAAAATCTTTAAAAAAAAAAAAAAAGAAGTCTGCTTCTCCCTCTGACCCTCCCCCCATCTCATGTGCTTTCTCTCTGTCAAATAAATAAATAAAATCTTTAAAAACAAAAAACAAAAAACACACAGAACAAAAACAAATCACCTGAGGCCCAGGTGAGCTCCCCCAATTAAGCACTGTTGGTATTTTGGATTATTTACTCCCAGCATGTGTGCTAGACAGTTTTAGTACAAGTGAAAGTTTTGTATCCAGTTTTTTTCTAATATCACATTGTTAGTGTTCCACCTCACTAAAATTGCCTTAATATTTTTTTTAAAAGATTCTCTTTATTTGAGGGAGAGCGAGCATAAGCAGGGGGAGAGGCAAAGGGAGAGAGAAAAGGAGAAGCAGACTCCCCGCTGAGCGGGGGCGGGGGGGGGGGGGGGGTGGGGCTCGATCTCAGGATCCTGGGTTCATGACTGGAGCCGAGGGCAGATGCTTGACCGACTGAACCACCCAGGCTCCCCGCCTTAATATCATTTTAATGGTTGCTTAATATCCCATCATATAGACATATCTTTATGCATGTAAGCATTCCTCTGTTTGACACGGGGTTTTTAATACTAAGAAGCAAGTACCTTTGGATATAAATCTTTGTCTTCATTTCTGATTATCTTCCTAAGAAGGACTGCCCACTATGGAATTATTGGGTCATATGTTACAAACAGTGGTTTTCAACCCCCCTCCCCAAGCAAGCTATAATTTTTTAATATTTTTTAAAAATTCCTCAATTTTATCTATTTTGATGGAAGCAAACAACAGTGTTTGAGAGTATCTTACATAATCTTTGCAGTATTGCCTATCATTTTAAAAATATTTTTAAATGTTCATAATAGATTTGTTGAAGCAGCAAAAAGATCCCTGAAATATACTTATTTACTAAGCACCTAATATAGGCAGAAACCGTTCCGGGCACTGTATCACCACTGAACAAAGTAAAAATTACTGTCCTCATGAAGCCTGTATTTTTGTGGGATGAGAGTCAACAAATAAGATATATAGCTCTATGGAGAAAAAACAGCAAAGAAGAGGGTAACCAGGAGTGGGTATAGGAGTAGCTACAGTTCTAAGGCGTGGTTGGGGAAGTCTTCAAAGACCTGGAGGAGCAAGACAGCAAACCTGTGCAGTTATCTGTGAAATGTTCCAGATGAGAGAACAGCAATTGCAAAAAACCTAATGTGGGAGCATGCCTGGCCTGTTTGAGGTTCAGGAAGGAGGTAAAAGTGGTGGAAGCATGAGCAACGGGGGAAAGTAATCAGAGATGAGGTCAAGGAAATAGAAGCAGATCAGACAGGGCTTAGTAAGCCATTGTAAGAACTGTGGCTCTTGCTCTGAAATCGGCAGGCTATGGAAAGTTTTAAACAGAAGGGGACATGACCTAACTCACACTTTAAAAGAATCACTCTGGCAGCTTTTTGAATACATTGTAAAGGAGCAAGAACAGAATCAGGGAGGGTTGGAGTAGTCTCAGAAATAATGGGGGACTGGATTAGGTTATTAAAAGTGGAGATGGTGAGAAGAGGCTAGGATCGGGATTTATTCTGAAGGTAAAGTCAACAGAATTGGATGGGGGTTGTGAGAGGGGAGTGAAGAAACAATCTGTCTTGGTTTGAGCAACTAAAGGGTGAGTGGCCATTTACCAGGTCGGAGGAGACTGGTGGAACAGATTTTTGGAGTTGTTTGGTGTTGCACAGGTTGTTTGAGATGTCTATTAGACATCCAGTTAGAGATGTCAAATAGGCTAACTGGAGTCTCAGGTTCAGCGGAGAGGTCTGGGGCTGAGATACAAATTTCGGAGTTAAGAGCGAGAATGGTGGGACACCTGAGTGGCTCAGTCGGTTAAGCCTATGCCTTTGGCTCAGGACCCTCATGGGGCTCCTTGCTCGGCAGGAAACCTGCTTCTCCCTCTGCCTGCAGCTCCCCCTGCATGTGCTCTGACAAATAAAATCTCAAAAAAAAAAAAAAAGGGCAAGAATAGTATTTAGAAACAATAAGGCTGAATGATATCACAAGGGAGCAAGCAGAGAGGGCTGAGCCCTGAAACACTTCAATATTCAGAGGTCAGAGAGATGAGAAACCAGTGAGAGTGAATAGGAGCCAGTGCTGGAAAGATAACTAGAGGAGAGAATGCAATCAAGGGGGGCTTTTTTTGCTTAAGATATCAGAAGTTAGGGGTGCCTGGGTGGCTCAGTCCGTTAAGCGGCTACCTTCGGCTCAGGTCATGATCGCAGGGTCCTGGGATCGAGCCCCACATCGGGCCCCCTGCTCAACAGGGAGCCTGCTTCTCCCTCTCCCTCTGCCTGCTGCTTCCCCTGCTTGTGCTGTCAAGTAAATAAATAAAATCTTAAAAAAAAAAGATATCAGAAGTTATAGCATGTTCATATGGAAATGACTCAATAGTGAGGGGAAATACATGAGAGAAGGGGAGAACAGATGGAGATGTCCTTGAGTAAACAAGAGAGAATAAACTTAGTGTATAGGTGAAGAGTCAGCCTCTTTCAGGAACATGGACAGGTTATCCATAGTAACAGAAGTACGGTAGTAGGTGGATAGACGTGATGGTGGGAAATTGGAGAGTTCTCCTCTGAGTACTTCAGTTTTTAAGTGAAATAGGTAAGAAAGTCATCCCTTCAAAGCAAGGATGACAGTTTGAGGAGAGGTGTGTATCAGTCAAGTGACTAGGGGAAACCAAGTATGGTTATTGGGCAGCACCAAGAGCACATCTGAGGTCTGGAATCAGGCCAAATAGACAAGATTTTTCCGCTTGTGACCAAATGAACACAATGACAACAAGTCCTTTTACACTTTCGTGGCTCCAGTTCTTAAATTTGTTTTTAAGCCCTGCCCCACCCCCATGTTTTTGTATTATTTATGGATCAAAGTTTTACTTCAAAATTTTTTAAGCTTAATTACACATATTTTCACGTTTCTATCAATCATAAAAGAATGTCAGAAAGCCCTTTAATGAGAATTGCTACTTTGAGTTTAGCTTATTTCAATGGAAACTAAATTCTTACTCAGATATTTTGTAGTTCATTTGTGATTAATGTTCATTTCTGATATTTTTCAGCACACCTAATTGATAAAGTCAAAATCAAAGGCTATTATGCATTCAAACTGACTGAAGAAAAATCTAAACCCAGATTTGGATTCTTCACATCTGAATTCAAAGCTAAATCCTCAGTTCAGCTTTACAACAAACTGATCAGCAACAGCGGCTTCCCTTCTGAGAACACGAGTCCTAGGTGCAGTCAGACTCAAAGAAACACAGAGTGCACGGTCTGCTTATTTCTTGTGCAAAAGAAACCATTGATATTCTTTGGTTGTTGCTTCTTCTCCACCCTGGTTCTACTTTTATCAATTACCATTTTTCATAAGCGAAAGAGAAGAAAAATTTGGAAAGCAAAGAACTTACAACACATACCATTAAAGTAAGGCCACAGAAAGTTCTTAGTGAAACTGATCCTATTTCTGTCTGCATGATAGAAAGTCTAAAAATTCACTCCAGGTCCATATACTGGTAACTTATAGAAGACAATTTGAAATACTAGTGGTAACCAAGGTGATGACAATCAAGGTCTCTCCTGTGTAGCCCAAATGAATTTTCCGTTAGGTATTCACATCACTGAATTCAGTTCTTGGATCATCTGAAGATAAAGGCTTTACCTAGACAGTAAACTATGAGTATTATCTGATACACTGCTTCAAGTTTAATGAACTGTTACCCATCATTCTTCTCTTTCTTCTATAAATACCAATAGCTACTTATAACAAATTACTTAGAAAAAAAGTGCGACTTTTGCTAGACTCCACAGCAGAAATTTAAAACTCTTAACACTGGATAGTGATTATTCTGTCACTTCTAACAAGATGCTTTTCCCCTTTAGAAAATACATAAGTAATGCTTGTTTATCATCAGCTCCAGCATAGACTCTTAAGCACATAGATCCTAGTTTTTCTCAGTAGAAATAAAAACCATCACTTATAAAACATGGTATTTTGTGAGGTCCCTCCTTGTATCAGATCTGATTTAAAAACAGAACTTCCATAACTCGACTCATGGAAAGATCACAGGACTGATTAAGAAGAGCTAGACCCAACTGCCTGTGGAGACAGCAGTCACTCAGCCTCACAGTACAGCAAATTCCTCTTTAGACAAATTGACAGCATTCTTCCTCACTTGGATTGTGAGGCAACAAGGATCTTACATACTTAGGAAAGCTAAATATCCTAAAATGATGTAAAGTTTATTGCCAAGTCATCAGAGGATCATATTATTCCATAAGACTTGCTCTCTCCTGTGGAGCTCCACTGTTCTGACACCATGTATATACAGGGACCTCTCAAAAAGGTATAGAATGCAGCTCTATCTTGACCTTGCAACTGTGCCTCTTTGGATACAATTCAGACTGTTGATGGTCTGAAGGAGTTAAAACTTTTTCCCCTGCGTCTTTTGAAGCTGGGATTCTTAAATCTGAACTAGGAGGTTGACTTTTTTGAACTCTTATGCTTAAGATTCATTCAGTGTATTCTAAATTTTAGAGGAAAAAAACCTGCATGTAAACCCATTCATACCCATTTTTACGTTAGTCAACATTTAAATAATCACCCATTTCACAGAGTAGCTAATCACTGTCCACACTCTCCAAGAATTTACTGAGTCAAAGGAAAGGGTTTTTTTTGTTCAAAAAACCTTGGTAGGAAACTACCCTAAATGAAGTCAATTGTGATTTGCTTTTCAGGTCTATATGTCAGAAGCCAAAGTTTGTAGGTAATGGAGATTCTAATAGGAAGTTTCAAAGATACTGTAATGAGATAACATAATTGGTCAAGTAAATGCAAAAATGATGGGTAATCAGTTTGCTTTTTGGCTGGCCAAATTCAAACAGTAATTGTGGTTTTCTATTCTCTTTGCCCCCACTATATCCACTCTCCCAGCTTTGGTGGTTTTTATAATATGCTTTTTATCTTTTCAAGTAAATTTTATTTCCTCTGGAAACTCACATAGTTGGCCTAAGGCTATCCACAATTACAACTGGTTGTTTTAATGTTAACTATGTGGAAAGACTCATTTAAAACAACCACTTGGCTGGGTTTTTTTTCTTTGTGCCGCATGGATTCACTGACCCCAAAGTTTCAGTGAATATTCTTATAGGAATTTTCAGTTGAACAACTTATTACCAACTTTTTAGCTTCTCTTTAATATCCAACATCTTGAAAAAGGACTGCATATTCAGTCATAGGAGTAACGAAGATTTAGAATTAAGGTTTTGCTTTTCTGGTGTCTAAATATTACTTTGTGCTCTAATTAAAAAGTATCTTGTATTCAGTTTACCATTAACCTTCAATACTTTATGCCTTTATATTTAGGGCTGAAATTAAAACTTGTGTCCTTTTTCAAATTTGTTACCTTGCCATAAACTCCCCCAAATAGTCAGGTTCCAAACCAATGCTTACAGTCCTAACACCTGGGAACTGTATGTTTTTAAGCCATCATCATGTAAGAATCCTTAGGTAAATAATATAAATCATTATCAATTATACTTACTCTTCAGGTTTATCCCAAACTCATTTTGAAAAAATTGTAAAATGTCATTTTAAACTGATAGCTTTTGACAGGATAATGTATTCAGAATTTAGGCCTGGGACTTGCTTGGGCTGGCGGGGAGGGAACCTCTTAAACTCTAGTTAACTTGTGTTCTATTTTGTGTGTGGTATTAGTTTGTATATTCAACGTAACAACCTTGTCTCTGACTAGTCTGGTACATATGAAAAATATTACAACATAACCATGGTGTTTAAAGATCCTCTGTAAAATTAGGTGGTCAGTACATTTTGACTAATTGTTGAATTCTCAATGTAATTTATTCCAAATAAACTGGGTTTATGCCGATTTATATTCACTAACAATCTGGTCATTTATAAGAACCATAAAATATGAATGGGTCTGGTGTATGACTGGATTCTGCCCAATACTGCCTCTGTCCATCTTCCCAAGCTGTGGGCATCCTGGATAACTTTCTTTGGGGTATGTTTTCTTATTATAAAATGTGGTATCTAAACTTCAGAGTTGGGAAAATAACATACAAGTACTTATCCATTGTAGACACAAAAAACATGGAATTCTTCCCAGGGGAAACTAGATTTTCCCTTACCACATCCAACTTAAGTGAAAATCACTCCTTAGCTACAACCAGCCTCTAAATGTTATCTTGTGAAGTCTCACCCATCACGTCAATTCACTTTGCTCTGTGAGAAATTACACTTACTCCCACAGCTACCACTGCCTGTGCGCTGACACTTGCAATTATAACACCTTCATCCCTCTATAATATTGCCATTTGGAAACTTCTTCCTCAACGCTTAGTATCAGTTTTGAAATCCTCAATACCTTCCATAACATTTCTTTCCAGTCCCATTGGTATTACTGAGTCTTTATACTTTAATCTCCAACAATCTGGGTACCGTTCACTCAGCAAATAGCTATATGACAGGCATTATTGTTCCAGGTACTTCGAATAACCCAGTGAGAAAAGATCCATCCTCACAAAGGTTACATTCTAACAGGAAAAAAAAGCATACAATCAAAACACAACAAAGTAAACTGTATTACATTCTAAATGCTATGGACAAAAACAAGTGAAGCAGAGGTAAGGGTATGTATGCTAGGATGGGGGTTAGGGGTGAACACCATTAATAGGCTGAAGGCAGGCTTCACTGAAAATGTTTGACAACAGACTTGAAGGTTAAGTTGCCACTCCAAAGGGACAGAACTTCTAAAGGAAGGGTTTTAAGGCAGTGGTACGAAGGAACAGCAAGGTCAGTTCAGCCAGTCGATCAGAAAGGTTAAGAGGGAATGGATTTGAGAAAAGCATTCTGGCTACTGCTGAAAACAGGAGAAGAGCAAGGCTGGAGTAAAGCTGATCAGTAAAAAAGCTATTATAGTAACCCAAGCAAAATGTAGTTTTTCATTTTCTATGTTATAAAAAATTTCAAAACTTTATGTAAGTAGGTACAATGAATTCCCAGTTTAGTTACAAGTATCAATTTACAGGTAGTTACAAGTATCAATTTACAGGTAATCTGTTTCACTTAGAACCCCAATGCTCTCTCCAACCCCACTTCAAATATTTCAAAGCAAACTATAGCTGATCATCACACCTGTATTTCTTAAAAACTTTGACCAAAGATTAACTCAAAATTAGTTGGTTCATTTAAAATCAAGATCTCGGTAAGATCCATACTTTCCAAATGGTTGCTCATTTTAAGATTTAGAGAGCAAGAAGAGCACAAGCAGGGGTTGGGCAGAAGAAGCAAGCTCCCCACTGAGCAGGGAGTCCAAGGTGGGGCTCAATCCCACGACCTGAGATTATGACCTGAGCCAAAGGCAGACGCTTAATTGACTGAGCCACCCAGGCACTCCTCTTCCAAGTCCTTAAACATAACTTACTTTGAAGGCAAAGCCTACACTTCCCTGATGGATTTAATGTGTAGCATGCAAGAGAAATCAAGGTTGTATGTTTTGCCTGAGAAATCGGAAGGCTGGAGTTTCCATCAAATGAGATGGGGAAAACTGAAGAGACTGGGGGCAACCGTGCTAAGTCAGTCCTATATGGTAACACATTTAAAAGTGTGACACATAGAATTAAGAGATTCTGGAAGTAATGGCTGAGGTAGGGTAGAGAGTGAAAATTCAGAGCATCTTGGACACAATGTTAATCACAAACACAAATTAACCTTATCACTTCGTTCCACACCTCCGCTACTTTTTGCACAAGTTACCGGTATACAGACAAGTGACTCAAGCACACTTACCACACAAATATTCAAACTTATGCCTCTGCAAAATCAGATACCCTCAGGATCTCCCCCAAAAGTTCTACATCCAATGATGAAGAGTCACATGGTGCTGTCACTGGTACTATATTTCTCTTGCCTGAAATGCCCTTGATAGCCCTTCAAAAAACCAAATTCAAGCCAATTTTCCCATTTTTACTAGAAAAAACTGTTTTATTCCTTATTACTGTTCTTAGCACACTACAATTTGCTTCTGAATGGTTTAACTGCCAAATAGTTGGAAAGGATTATTGGTTTAAGAAAAAGCCCCAGGGATGCCTGGGTGGCTCAGTCGGTTAAGCGTCTGCGTTCGGCTCAGGTCATGATCCCAGTCCTGGGATGGAGCCCTGCATTGGGCTCCCTGCTCAGTGGGGTCTGCTTCTCCCTGTCCTTTTGCCCCTTCCCCCTCACTTGCTCTCTCACACGGTCTCCCTCAAATAAATAAAATCTTTAAAAAAAGAAAGAAAAAGGCCCAAATCAGTATAGCTTTTATTGCATATTTAAAATATCACAAGTCTGAAAAATCATCCGGCATCTTGCTGTTTCTGTAGATGGAGAACTGTAAAAAGAAAGAAAAAGATCTGTCAATTCCCATCAATACCCTCCAAAACAAGTTCTACTCCAAATAATCTTAAAACAAGTTTAGGATTCTTACTAGTTCATAGTAAAAATGCATGTCACTATTCTTATTCTGCCATTTACTGTGTTCCAGAATGTAACTCATTTTCTGCCATTACAACTCATTTCAGACTTAGTAAATTAAGACCTCTAAAACTAAAGCAGTAAGGAAACTTACAGACACTGCAAGAACCTACCTCAGATCTTATTCATCAGCCTGCTGAACTGTTCCTTTTTCAGAAACATAGATACCATCCAAAAATTTTCTGATATCCTTGTTCTTAACAGTTGTGGCTTGCTGAATCAAAGCAGCTATTAACAGTAAAAAAAGATAAGGAAATTACATTACCAGCCGAACTCATTTTAAAATAAAAGGATTTTATTATATGCCATACTTAAAGCCTATTATCTTTGGGGTAGTTTTTTACTTAATTCCACAAATGAAAAAGCTCACCAAATAAGAACACAATGTATTCAACTACAAGATTTAAACAAAATTTTATAGGCATAATTAGGCATAGTAAACATACAAACCTGAGTTCGATACAAGTTCAATGTCATTTCCTTCAAGAATTAACTCATCTTTTTGGGCTTGAGATACAGAACAAGCAACACCTAAAAAAGGGAGAAGGCATTCACATAGTGTAAAAATAAAATCAAATCTGTACAATATAATTTATTAAAGTAGCACT